TAAATAATACTTAATATAGATTCAAATAATATATGTATTAAAACAAAATGGAGACCTAAGTAGTTCTTCTGTTTAAATGATCAGGAATAGGATCAGACATTTTCTTTGTAGTAACAGAGAATATTTTAGACATTAAAACTTTTTTATATACAAAAATGAATTTTATATTTTTCACATTTTGAAATAGTTGTCTTTGCCTTTAAATAAACATTTTTACTTTCAGCGTTTATTTAAATATAATTATCCTACAGAACAGAACTATTATACCAATCGGCATGGAAATCATTTAAATCAAACCATTCGGAAAGAGCCCCAAAATTATAATTAGTATGCATGCCATATCAATATCATGATGTAAAGGACACTGAACAAAACAAGGTGAAAACCAATCGTAACTTGGAGCTAGTAAACTGAAATGTGTGCTAGTTCTCAGGATAACACGGAACACGCATGTGAAACAGATGCAATTATTTTCTCTTTATGGGCATGAGCCTAGTATCTAAATTGCAGATTAACTAAATTGATTAGAAATTATACGAACTGCCTCGCCTTGACCCAATCACAATCAAAAGGCAGGCAAGAAACAGCGGCTAATTTCCAGCGGGCCATGTTAACTTGCCAATGCGTACGCGCATACCCCACGGAATCGGAACAACAATAATCGGATAACAAAAGCAACAACAACAACAATAACAAATGAAACAAATATAAAAAACAATAATAATGACAGCAAAAGTCCTCGCTGCGTGGCTATCTTTGGCAAACAATCTAAATGATATATTAAGCGCAAAGCAAATAACGCTCTCTGTTTGTCGCCCTCCCTCTCTCTGCCCCTCTGTCTCTCTCTCTCTCACTCACGCGTTCCCTTTCCATTTCCATTTCCCTCGCGAGTTAAGTTCTCCAATTATGCGGATTATTAATTTAACTGGGTCGCTGGTTAGAGTGGACCTTATTTCCCTGCGCTGCCCGTTCGCTCAGGCTTATGTGCTTTTTGTTGTTGTTTTCACTCGCATGTCTCTCGTTGTTGTTGTTGCTGGTTGTTGTTGTTGCTGGCCACTGGCAGTGACCACTTGTCGTTTCACAAGTTGTCAAAACTTGTCATTTAACCGACAATGAGCCTTGTTTGCTTTAATCGTGGTTATTATGCGTTCGCCCGAACCGTCTCTGAATTATTAATGATACCAGAGCATACCTGGGCAGGTGCTCCAACTTCATGCCTGACTATATGTGTACGTGTGTGTGTGTGAGTCTCTAATTAGTTGCCAGTGCAGTTTATACTGAATCTACTCTGTGGCTTTTTTTTTATGGTTAATCCTAAGCGATCATGATTTATACTTTCATAGCTTCTATAACTTTCTTTTGATCATTAATCAGGCTTATATCTCGTTCTGGTCGTTTCTAACTTGTGCTAAATGACATTTTCAGTTGCCGTTGTTGTTGTTGTTGTTATTGTTGATCAATTCTTTAATTGGTTTCCCAACGGCTCATTTGTCAATGGTGCAATCGATAAACTCGCGGACAGGTGGAATATCCTGCACACTCAGGCAGTTCACGTCGTCGCCTGCGCCTGCCGCCTGCCGCCTCCTGCTTCCTGATCCTGTCCTCAGCACTCTGATGTCCTGATGAGGGTTGTTTTTCAGTTTTGACATACTGGTGTCGCCTGCGGGGTTGACGCATGCGCATCCTTTGCTTAGCAACAGGTGATCGCAGCTAGCTGATCGAGTTGAGGTGTTTTTTTGTTGCTTTGTTATTAAGTTGTTAAGCTAAATTATTGTTTTTTCCTTTATTTTTTATTTGATCTTTGAGTTTTTTTTATATGAGTGCTGCCGGCGACATTTAACAGTTCATGCATTTATATGAGCTGTTGCAAAACTCTTAATGGCCATTAAAATTGAATATATTTATTTTCGGCTTTTTTTTTGCTTTTTTCTTATTTTTTGAGGCCTTCAGATTCAAGTCGAAAATGTAATAAATATAATTGATTTTAAAGAATTTTGATAAATTAAAATTGAAATTCTTAAACAATTTAATTGACTTTTCAAAACGAGCAGGATTTTGGTTTGGATTAATCAAAAAACATTATAGAATAGATCGGGATCAGAACTTAAAAAATAAAAAAATAAATCTAAAACTAAATAAATACTATATATCATTTTCAAATTTTCTGCTACTAATGGAAAATTGAAAAAGTAAATATGATAGCAATAAATTTGGCATGAATATTAAATATGCAAAGTTATAATATATAGATCTTTAATACTAAGAGGGAGTGTTTTAATGATCAATTTGCTGATAGTTTAAGCAATCAGGATGAAAACTTACCGTAGCTGGACACTGTAAAGGAAAAGAGAAAAAATATCTTGTTAATAATTAATAGTAAACTCATATAAAGATAACAATAAAAGCTTAATTATAATCAGCTTGCTTCATTCGAAATAATGAGAATCGCATAGGGAAGTAGTAGCTATCATTCGACCACACTGTTCTCAAGACGAGTTATTTAGCACTGCCTTAAACGATTTCACAATTCATGCGAAGGCGGAGATATTGTAAGTATTTGACGTACGTTCGTATAAATGAATGAAATCGAATTCATTTGGCATCGATTGCTGATTTAATTGTCTGACTAATTGAGAGATTTTTTTTTTGCGCTGGCATCTGTGAACTCCCATGACGCACATTCGGCCTAGTTGCAGCGTTATTTGCTCCATTTGGCACTCCGGCGAGCTTAATGACTTGATTTGGGAGGCTGATGAGGCAGCCAGGACAGTTCTGCGGCTGCACAGATTGCTCAACGTTGATTAGTGCCCGGGTCTGAGAGACAAATGCTGTACGTGCAGAAACGCCAGCCGATGCTCTGGCTGACCGGCGACGACAATGACTTTGCCATATATGCACTCTCTAGCTGGGCGGCTCTACCCAACAACAACAACAGCAACAACAAGAGCAGCAGCAGCAGCAACCAAAAAAAAAAAAAACCCTTTAAATTTCATGCAGAATTAATTAACTGCTGTTGGTGGCGACTCCGACTGCGACCGATTCGTGTTGTCGCCGCCAAAGCCGCCCAAGTTGCGGGCGCCCTTCTGGCCAGGCCCGTATCGCTTTTTCAGACTCTTGATATTTTGATGGCCAAGCAGACAACGCCGGAACACACAGAAGCGCGCTCTGGATCGCTCTTCGCTCTGGAATTTCATTGAGAAACGTGCCCTGTACTTGCCGAGACAGCAAGCTCAGGTCGTGTCCCCAATGCTCTGTCATGAATTGCACAGATATATAGAAAGAGAGAGAGAGAGAGAGAGAGAGAGAGAGATGTATGGGTGTGTGTGTGTGGGACAGTCGTTGTTTGTCTTGGGGATCTATGTTGTGGCGCCATTAGCTGCCATTGGCTGGCCCGTGTCGCAATTTAATTACAAGCATCGCTATCTAGAGAAGGCGGCAGCAAGATTTATGCAAACAGTAAACAACATGGATAGACTGGAGCTGGACAGATGCACGGCTCCATCAAATGATATGAACGGACAGGCAACGGGCAACGGGCAACGGGCAACGGGCAATGGCCAATGGTTGTCATCAGCGTTGTTCTTTTTGCTTTCCACCCGATGCACAACTCAATTTGCTGCTGCAGTTAACCCACTCATAAGTAAGTGAATGAACATACCTACTATATGTGTGTATCTGAACAAGAGATATGGTCTGGCTGTAGCTTCTTGAAAATCGAATCACGTTCGCCCAATTTTGAATGGACTGCATGGACGTTTGGGGTAGCTTCGACAATTTTAGCTCCCTTGTAGGCGATTAACTTAAATGCCACTAAACTAATTTAAAAGCGATTGTAGGAGCTCACTCGCTCTCTCTCTCTCTCTCTCCCTCTCTCTTTGTCTGTCTCTCTTTCTCTGTGAGTCTGGGCGATAGAATTTCAGTGCCTGGGCTGTTAAACATCTTGTCCTGTCCGCTCAAACACTGTGCAACGCACCCATTGTCACGTACTGTAGAATGTGGCCATCAGTGTAGAGATCTGTGTAAAATAAATACATAAATACATGTGTGTATGTGTGTCTGTGTGTCTGTGTGCGTGTGCGTGTGCGGCTCTTGGCAAGATTGCTTTTTCCATATGGAATTTAATTTGCGCTGCCCCTGAAACATGTAATAACGATGCAATTTCATTTGCAATTTAGAGCTACGGCTACTAGCCCCGAAAACATTTGACCACTGTCCTGGCATGCCACAGATGCAACAGCATGTTCCACTCTATATTAATGCCACGTTATGGGCGGAAGACAGAGAGGAGAGCGATAGAGAGAGAGGGAGCCCAGCCCAATGCCCAGCGATGACAAAGAATTTCTCGTTATGCAAAATACCTGCAAATATTACACAGTTAAGTTTACGATTTGATATATAGCTCTACGGTCTGTTGTTGTTCCTGTTGCTATACCCTGCATAGTACAGGGTTGCAAGCGGTTAGATTTTCTTGATATGTAAACTATTAGAGCTGTTGGGTTTATATGTGTGTGTTGCTTAAGCTATTGATAATTATTCGATTCCATTTTTAGCTTAAATAAATGGGTATTCTTTTACAAAATTTCTTTTATCGATAACTGATTTAATATATTTTCAATAAATTTGACAGTTTACTTAACTTCTTTGCTAAATATTTTCTCACGAATTGCTCTCAGTTTGTGTAGATATCTAATAGGTTTTTAGAGCTATGATAAAGTCCCTGCACACTCATACTTTGATAACAATTTCTTTATACTCTGCAAAACTAACTTCTCTAACTGATAGCTCATATCCTTACAGAGCATCTGCCAGTCGTTCATGCTCAGATCAATCCACTGGCTGCATTTTGTTATTGTTATTGCTAACTGGCCGTTGTCAGTGAGTGGCCTGGCGCTTAGAAAACAAAACGCGACGGTGGCAACCTGTTGCGCCTATGGATGCCCCGCGGTCAGGGGCATCGTAAAACCTTACGAGCTGAATAACAAATACATGTATGGGATGATTAATTTAAGCACTTTTACGATGCCTCTTCATGGCGCAACTGATTTATGGCCGTGCGGCCGTGCGACGAATTTGCGTCAGGGAAAGCGCTACGAGAGGTCCATGGCGCGAGGCTTTATGATTGGCTTAAAGGGGCGATAAATGAAATTAGGGGCTCTGCAATAGAGCTGAGCAGCCGGTAGGGTGCACAGCTCCGATGCACTTCTAGGCTTGTAGGCGTTGCAATCCCGGACAGACAGACAGACAGCAAGCTACGAATATCATCTAAGTATTGCTGGTCTCTTGCATTGCAAGTACAATCGGCATGGCGAGGAGTGGAGCGAGGGGAAATGGCGGCTGGCGCATGTTGCCATCAGACGCATTTACTATTTTGCATAAATCATAATGTAATCTGCATCTGGAAATGAAAACAAACCGAAGCGAAAATGTCCAAGCTTTTATAATTAACTGCGCGGGCACAAACCGAAGACATTGGCAGGCGACATGCCGGGCACAGCTGCAGGACCTCTGCATTGGCCGCAGCCAACCAGCATCAGGCAACAGGCAAAGAGCCAAACGGCCAAACAGGCAACAACCAACAACAGCGACAACCGCATAAGTTTCTCAATGAAGCATGGAGCCCAAACATCAAAAAAAGCAACAAATACAAATACAAATACAAATATACAAATGCAACAGCAACAACAACGGCAACGGCAACGGCAACGGCAGCAGCAGGGTGAGCTCTGTGCCTGGTCAGAGAGGACGACGCCGGCACAAATGTGGATAAGCCCTCACTTGGCGCGCAATCGCAAAATCTACGCAGCGCGCGGTCAACGGGCGCCTGCCAAAACTACGGCTAAATAATTTATGCCCCCAGTCAGCAGCAGCATCAGCAGCATCAGCAGCAACAGCAACAGTCAGCGATGCGCAGCAACACATTGGCGCAACATGCTCCTTGGAGCGAAGCAGCGGGTTGGATGTTAGTCGCAGTAAAAATCAAACAAAATTATAAATTAATGAAATTTATGCACAATAAAATTGCAAAAGAAATTATTAATGCAGTCGTTCACGCTTTAAATGCACCCTAAATCAACGAACGTACGCTAAAATTATTAATACGGCTGCCAGACATGCAGCAGACGCCACTGCCGCGGCTGCCTCCTTGCCTGGCATCATTCCCAATCATGCTCAGCCTCCTGCTCCTCAATCCTCAATCCGCAATCCGCAATCCTGGGCAATCAGTGCAAGCAGTTGATAGGTTTAGGCGCCGGATATGTTAAGTTGCAAAGACATGCATCTTGCAACATTAAAGCACAACTTGCGTTCAGCGCCCAGCTCCAATCCGCCAGATCCACCTTCAATTTTTATTGAAGGCGTTCGCCTTGACTGCGTTTGCAGATCGACATAACGAGGAAGAAGGGGAAGAAGTGAATTTATGTGCTCATGATGTCTGTTTGTTTTCAATAATCTTTATTTCAAACATGAAGACACATATTGTGAGCCGGACAGACGGATGGACGAATGGGAAGCTTTTACATATTGATTTCAATAGATATTACATGTAAAAACTTTACTTCTATTCAAGAAGAAGATGAAGTCCAGAATTTCCTAGTTGATTATCGATGCAGCTATAAGTCATCTGCTTTAGACCAACACGTTGAAGAGTTAGCCAAAACAAATATTGATCGCATATAAGAACTTTGCTTCTATTCAAGAAGATGTCCACAATTTCCCAGTTGATTATTTATACAGCTATAAAACATTTAATTTGATACAACAAAAGGTCTCTCTCTCTTTCTTATTATCTTCATTTCGCCATATTTTTCTCTCTTTATAGTTGCTATAGTTTATAGGTACAATTTCCGTCTCTCTCTCTCATCCTCTTTCCTGCATTCTTTCTTGTTCTCCTTGTCTCTCTCAATTTAAGCTTAGATCTAATTAGATCATAGTACAGCATTTGTAGTAAATCTACAACCATAGACATTTTTAGTTTAGGATCACCCTATTGTGGCTATAACTCATCTCATATTCTAAAATTTGTATTAAGTCCACATGAATTGTTCCCACAACATGCACAAATGATGTCACTCTGCTACCATAATACTCGCGACATAAATTGTGAACAAGGCCCAATTAGATGTCTTCAGATAGCACTTATTACGTTTCGAATATTGCCCAATTTATTCTTTGACAAATGAGGCTTTAATAGGGCTCTAGTTTATGAACTAGTTTCATGCAAGTGGCATATGAATAGTTAATTTCATTTCGCTGAAAGATCTGAGATCATCAAGTGGCAGCTAAATCAACTTGGGCCTAAACAAAAAAGGTATCACACACACCCAAAAAACATATAT